CTGTGCCAGCACGCACCAGCCTGAGGCAATGCCTCAGGCCCCCACAGCACTGACTGCTGGATCACCTACATTGCACATCAGTCACCTTGCCACCCCCTAGCTTAGCTCACAGACACTCTGCAGCATTAAATGTCTGTTTACCTCAACGGGGAGGACAGATTGTTCAGCTTAATTTTAGTCTTTTCTTCTAAGAAAGTTTTAATCATTTTATTAATATTTCTAGAGCACATTTCAGTGACAACAGGCATCATTTCTAAGTCTACATTGAAATGCTAGCCTACTGAAACTGGCAGATGAATCTTAGGTATAAAATTTTTTTTTGTTTAGCATATGTAGTAATGGAAAACAAATAACATCTAATTATTCCATTTATTTTGTGAATGTAAGGCTACTGTTTGTTTTAATCACACATCCTGCTGCAAAAAGCCATCAATAGATGTGACTTATTACCTCACCTACCTTCCCCAAATATTATTCTTCACTATTCAGCCACCTGTGCAAGTCAGACCATCTCGAACATGGATGCAGGACAGCGAGGCAGATCTGAAGCCTGCTGCAGTCACTGGGGCACGCAGGGATGGCACAACAAGCCTGGGTCTGCAGCACACTGGCCCATGCACTGGTTCACTTGGTCATTCCTATTTAAAAGGATTTTTCCTAGACAACTTCCCTAGCTTGTTGGCAGTAGTCTGGCAATCCAAAGATAGGCTTTTCACAGATTTGTACGTTTGTCTTGTCCTTTCCCCAGTTTTCTGAGGAAAATAAGTTACCTGTAGCAGTTAACAGGAAGACTAAACACCATGAGAGTTTTTTTCCCCTTAGACCTCACCATGCATTCAGTTTTTCACTGCATTCACTACAGCCAAGTAGAAAAGCCAAACCACAAGAACAGAAGCAACAGCTTATTTAAGCAGCCCTGTTGCAGGAGGCATTTGGAGACTGCATAAATGCCATTTCCAGCAGTGTCTTTCCTGAGCCAGTGTGAAAAACAAGAGTATCTTAGAACAAATGCTGCAATAACTGGCATTTGATACTGCAGTCACTGTACTGCCTAATCCCTGTTCCACACATCTGTCCCTCAGGTTTTATAGGTCATAGATATCTGCTTCCTCAACTTCGCCTGAAAAGGAGCAGCTATAGGAGCAGCTTTTTACACTACTATCCTTCAACACATTGCACTGCAAACTATATTTGAGCATAACCTGTACAGGTTTGTTTCTGAACCTGGATTTCATAATCAGGAAAAGGGCATCAAAAGTTCTCAGAAAGAAAGACCTTGTTTTGTAGTAACATTTGTCCACAACCATTTGAAGAGACACGCTTAAAATAACTTGCTTCCAAAAGACCAGGACAAGTGGTACGTGCAACGCAGCTAAAGCAAATGTTATTTGCTTTGCAAAACAAGAGTCCAGGATCTTGGCAGAAAGAACTTCTTTTCTTAAATGAAGAAAACTCAAGACATGTCAGTTTTTTTGAACATAAAATTAACAGGTGATCCTCTGACCAATGAGTACCACTGAACACATCTGAGCTACCCAAAAAATAAGAGTTTTGCCTGAGAGTCATTTATGCTCCCATATTTTCATGGCATTTCAAAAGATCAAGAGAATTCTGAGCAGGATATTTCTTAATCCTGAGGAGTTGCTTGCTTACGTCAGAATGTGGATTTTCTTCTTGCTGTTGACTCTCTTACAGGTATTGAAGCATCATGAGTTTTCCCAGGTTGAAGTAGCCAGTTGCTTTCTTGTTTGCTCTTGCAGGTGTTTTACACAGTAGCCCCAAGAAGACTGACGCTACTGGAAGAGAGCTGCAGCACAGGCAGGCACTGTAGATGTTTACTGCTTACAGCCTGGCTGACCTTTGGGGGCCCTGCACCCATTGGTATTCAGGCAAACTGAACTGTTTGAGTTTTATTATGGCTTTGCACTGCTAATAAGAACACCTTGATAGGCAACACCCCATCCCTCAGAAGCTCAGAAGGGATCAAATACTTTGAAACAAAGAAGAGACACAATACAATTTAAAAATAATTATTTTTCTTCTAACACAAACATTACAGTCATACTTTCCGCAGCCTGACTGATATAGCTGGATAAGTACTTAGTTCAGACAGTACTGAGCATGATAAAAGAGTCCATATTAGAGAAGAACATTACCAAATAAAAAACTGAAGTTGCACTATTTACCAGAAAACCGCAGGCAAAGTTCAGTTGTACCTCCCAAGCTTAAACTCTATACCCGAATTAGGTCTGCACATCTGCTGCTCTCAGCTGAAGAAGCACATAACTTCCTGGCAAACAGACTGTATGATCAAACTTACATAAGGAGACTTTCTCAGCATTAAAAGTTATTCTTTAAAGAGTGTTGGAAGCAGCTCAATTCACAACAAGCCAAAGGCAAGGCCTTTCCCTTCTTAAATACCTGATTCAATGAGCCCAGCTGAAAACTTACTTTTCCTATTACCGGAAGGAAGGAAGGACTTTCTCCAGGGACGTCACTCCTTCCCTTCCTGATGAAGGATGAGATCTTACAAAGCTTTACAGCTGCATTTCTTTCATACCATTGACTAAGCTATGCTTGTCAGCCTGGAGAAGAGAAGGCTCAGGGGGGATCTTATCAATGTGCATACTTGGGGAACGCACCCCAAAATACCTGGTGGGAGGATGTAAAAAAGACAGGGACAGGCTCTTCTCTGGGTTATACAGCAAAAGGACAAGAGTGAATGGGCACAACCTGAAATAGAGGAAATTCCACTTAAGAAAACAAAAAAGAAGAAAAGCAGGTTGCAGAGTCTCCATCCTTGGAGATACTCAAAAATCCAAGTACCTGCTCCAGCTGACCCTGCTCTGAGCTAGGGAGCTTGGACTCAGCAGTCTCCAAAGGTGCCTTCCAGCCTCAGCCCTTCTGTCAGTCTGGGATTTGATGGCGTGGTGCCAGCACAACGCAGCACACACACCCTCTCTGGTATGGCTACAGGTGATTCTCTGAAGTTGGTGACTGTCCTCTTCTGTGTTCTCTCAGCCTCTTCCCCCATGTGGGAATATCTAGAAAAGGACAGAGATTCCCAAAAACGTGTGCGTGGACAAGTGATGAGCTCAAAGAGGGAGCCTCTGCTTTCCTTCAGGAGATTCTATGCAATGGGACAGAGGCCGGAAGAAAAGGCTCCTTTGTAAGCCAGCCTGGCATGCAGTAAACATCAAAAAGGCTTCATTTTTGCAGCATTATTGATTCTTCCTTCAAGTCATGCTTTCTAATTTCACTTCTCCCCACTTCCTTTATATTTTCCCTTGTAGTCAGTTTGCCCACATTCAAGGATACAAGTGTCAGTGCATCACCTCCAGCTGTGCGAGCATGTATCAGTACATTTAATTCTTTCCTTTGGCACAAAGGGCTTATTATTCCATTTGATTTTAATCAGCTTCTGGGAATATACCCAGCAGTCCTCCTGTGAAAGCTGTGCTTTGTACTAGAATCCTATTTTTAGAAGCATCTCACATGAGTTGGATCAAAGACTAGCAGTGGGCATTTCTGAGCACTCGTGGTCGCAGTAACATCCTTCAGGCTTTTTCTGCTATCCCAAAGAAAGTAAATCATTACTGGGGCAATTAAACATGAAACAATCAAATGATTCTTTGGAAAAGCAGTGCCAGAAGCTCCCATTAATAGCATCATGGCTTGCAGGCAGTTATCCCCTTAAGGATCTGCCAGAAATATTCTTGAAAGAGCTTTTAGGTAGTAGATCTGGCACAAGCAGGGCCCTGTTTCTACAGCCTCACAGCAAACACAGAAGGAAGCCTTCCTTTCCTGTGCCCGATGCCTGCATGGACGGCTCCCCCGTTAAGGCTTATCTGCCTTTTACTTAATGGAGCCTGCAGTTTTATCAAGGAAGGCAGCAACAGGTCTGGACTTTCACAGCAGAGCTCCTGCCTCCTCCCAGTTTTACAGTTGCAGTTTGTGCAAGTTTATCTCATTTCACATAGCCCCCAGCCCACATCAACAGAAGGGAAAGGGGAACGTGACCTCAAGAAGGCAGGGGCTCTGCACCTTTGGGTGTTAAGTAGTTTCTCATCATGTTACAGTGAGTGCCTCAGTCAATGCTGATGTTTACTGGTACAGAACAGAGAAAGATTATCCTAATTTTACTGCAATGCCTTGAACAAGGTTCAGGGGAAGTCATTAGCAGAAGCAGGAATTCAGCTTCCCAGCATGTCCTTCACCCTTGCGGCATTGTTATTCCATCCCATCTGCTTCAGATCAGCAAAGGCTGCAATAACTGAACTGCTCAGGTCTATAGCTCCAGGGTACCTTACCAACCAAAACACGATTACCTGCACCTTCATCCTGGCAGCTCTGAAATCAGCCATAAAAAGGAAAGGGTAAATGAACACGTGAACTGCACTACAGAAATCACCCTCTCCATTGTGACCCCAGGCAGGAGCCACCTGACTGTTTAGCATTGACAGTATTGGCCTGCGCTCAATGGCTTTTAGCTGCTGCTTGAGAGAATCTAACCTTGTTATCCTCAAACCAGGAAAATTTCTAGCACCTGTTTTAGGGCTGGTTCCCAAACAAACCGCACCGTACTCTCCCCCTCCCCAAACGTGGACTACATTAAAAACATTCCTTGCTGTAAGTAAGTGCTGTCAAAACACCAGTCTGCTTAGCTGATATAGTATCTGGGAGCCATAACAGAGCTCAGCACCCACAGCGTGCACGTGCTACCTACGTGCTTAGGGATGAGAAGGAGAGAAAACAACCTCCCCACCCCCTCAAAGCCATAAGCAAGAACAGCTTTGACTTGATTCTTGTGTAGTCATTTATCCTAGAGACAAACCAGCCCCTCTGCCCTCCAGTCACATTCTGCAGGAAGATCTGCTCCATGATCAAGGGTATTTGAATTTAGCACCAGACCCCTTACGCGGTTTTAAGTCTTAAGCAAAAAAAAAGGCACCCCTAACAGCATAAGAGTATTACCAAACAAAACAGTGCTTTAAAGAATACTTTAAGAAGAACAAATCAAAACTTTTATTTAATAGAAAACTTTCAGAACACAAAAAGAGTCTTTCAGCTTGTTTGAAGCATTACAGGGACAATATACTCATTACAGACAATTCTCGTTCTCCTAAGGTGTAATCCCTTTTCATGTTGCACCCTTTATTCATTGCTTTCATCCTCACAGAGAGGCTGTATAGCTCTTCTTCTGCAATGCCATCAAAAAAGAAGTCCTCATTAAAGATGGGATTTCTGCTTCTCTTTATAACAGTACTTCTCTGCTTCTGTTTTTTCCCTGGCACCAGGGAGAAGGTGATACAGCAGTTTATGTTTTTGGGCTCTACAGAGTCATCGTATAAACCCTCAGCACTGATCAGGCGGATGCGCAGCCTTTCGTTTTCTGAGCAGTATTCCGCTGACAGTCTCAACATACCTCCCCGGTCCATTAACACCATGCTTTCTCCCACTAGTCTCTCTCGGCTGTGGGTAAGGTCCAGGGAGAAGATGGGAGAACAGGACGTGCTAAAGCTTCGCGTGGCAAGAAGCCCCTCCGAAGCCCGCCTGATGGCACTGGGGCTGTTATCAGTGGAACTGCTCTCCTCTGTAGACAGGGAATTGTTCCTGACCATGCTGGATTTGTTCCTGGCTTTCAGTGCTCGGCACAGCAATCCCTCCTGACTCTGTGTTTTGATCAGAGAGCAGGATCTGGGAGGAGATCTATTGAGAAGCGGAGAGCTGAAAGGAGATGAGTCGCTGGAGGAGGCAGTATCGCTGTCGCAGGTGCCTTGCCTGTGCAGGGACAGGTGTTTGGGAGGTAACCTCACAGAAGTAAAGCTTATAGCAACAGGATTAGACATATTGCCTTTGCCACTGAATGTGTTAGCTCTGGATCGGGGCAACATCAGGCTGGGCAGAGCACCACACGTGTCACCATGGAAGATGGACTCCTTTCTCCTGGTGTGGGGACTCTCCAGCAAAGTGCAGAAGCCATAGGAAGTAGGGGCTCGGGGAAAGTGAGGCAGGGAGAGCGCCGCTTGGGACTGTGGGTCTGAATTGGTGCTTTCCTCCTCTGGGGCTGGGATCTCTTCAGCACTTTCCACCTGGATAAGATGTGGCAGAGAAGGGCTCAGGCTGCAGTCAGAGGAATCGAGATCTGCATCCTCCAGATTGTGGTCCTGGCAGGAGCCAGGGCCCTTAATAGCAACAGAACTGTTCAGTCTGGGAGGAATGCAGAATTTGGGTATTCTGTCCGGGGTTAGCACATTGGGAAAAGCAGCAGCCCTCAGCTGGGCTTTTTCTGGTGGGTTTTGGCCAGGTGACAGTCCTAGGAAGGAGGGGCTGGAGAGGTTTCCATTTTCATGTGACCCTCGGATCTTTTCCAAGAACCACATCATTGTAGCTGGAGAGGAGGGTGTCAAAGGGGAAGAGCTGGAAGTACAAATCAACCTGCAAACACACAGATGCAAGAGCACGTGAACATCCTTCTCAGACATGCTGCAGCAAAGCAAGGCATTGAGGACGCTGTTAAAGGCAGGACTGACACGAACCCAATGCGTAGGTTCAGAACAGCCTCTGCCCAGCACGCTACCTCTACTGAAGCCTAACGGATTTTGCACAAGGACAAAATTAAGTCACTAAAGAGATTAAAGGGTATCTAGTAACTACCAGTGGAAAATGGCTGTCTCCGATAAACCCCACCATATTTTTCCTTGAGCAAAGGACCTACCTTGATCAAGTGCAAGCCACTTGTTCCGTCAGCAGCCCGGGATTGCTTGATTGCTGCCGGCCGGGCACCCTAGGCGGCTCCGGACGGGCACTTCACGCTCAGTGGCCGCACGGACCCTTTTCTAGCGGCGCCGGGCACCTCCCACCCGCGCGGCCGCGCCCCCGGCGGGGCC